TTTTAAAATATAGGACAATTTATCCGTTCTATAGGCTCGCGTGATGTTGAAAGGACACGAAAGAGTGTATAGCCAAAGTTTTTTCTCACTTTTTCAGCTCTCAAATGCTTGGTCAAACTCAGAAGTGCTTAGATTTAATGAATAGATAACTTTTTCCGTGTACACATATAGCCTGATGACACGAGGGTAGGTTGGGAGAATTTGAGACGGTTATGCAAACCCGAGACGAAGTCGATCATTTAATCGACGTTTCGACGCTTTGTCATCTGAAAAATATTTCAGGTCGATACGGAGATTAACAATACAAGACTTAAATGGCGTTAGTTCATGACCGTCAACATCGGGGGACTAGTGACGAATCCATTGAAACGAGACCTCAAAGGCCTTCAATCGAGAAATCACTACGAAGTTCAGATGTATGTAGTGTCAAAAAGTTTGAAAGACATATTGGTACATGTTATCTATAATAAAGTACTCTTGCAAGGCCCCATCGAAGTTTACTATACGGAGGCCAGACCTCGTTTAAGTGCTTCGTTCCCAGTGCCTTGTTCGTCGACCGTGACATATCGCGCCATTTTTGAAAGTCGTGTATTGTCTAGGCCTCCAATCGACTAATCAAAATTGAATTAGTATAAGAAACTAGAATACAAAAAACAAACAAACAAAAAAAAACAAAAACAAAAAACGACTGAGTTAAACAATTGCTTTTGTATTCCATATTTAGGTATGATGAAATAAGGTTCTACGATTATAAAAAACCTGGGTACAACCTCCCAGCCGCCCATTTTACTCAGGTAACAGCTTCAATTGCMAAATTTAAYTAGTTCAATTAGAACTTATATGAAYCGCTGCASCCCGTTAAAATCCAGGTTGTGATTTTGTGCAACAATGTGGCATCAAAAATCTTAGGTTGCCCSTAGTAAACGTAYGTMTTCCAAGCRTGCGCAGTGCGTTTCTCCTCAGTGTCATCAATAGCACTATTTCGTTTTTACTCCTCTAGCGTTGGAGCTCGAGTGAATTCACTCTGCTACAGCATTCCTCTCATTTTTGTGTTCTTTATTAGTTAATTTGGAAGAAAAGTACTAAGGTCGGCGGTGCAATGGCTGTGCATACTCGAGGACAACATACCTACACATTTGTAGTCGCTCACTATGCACCAGCAGGCAACGTAAAGGGAACCTTTGCCTACAACGTCCCTGATCTCCAATGCAAAAGTAAGTTCTTAGATTTTGTGCATTTATATATAGATAGTTATTTTTACGCCTACGTTAGGTAGGGTGCCACACTTTCCACAGCAAAGCATTATGGGAATCTGAGACCCTCGTACATATGTATATGAATGTATTAGCCATATATGGTAACCATACATCATTTGAAAGTAAGCGCGGAATCGTTTTTAGTCACTACTAAAGCTTGCCGGAAACTTTCAGATATACAGTGAAAAGATATCTTCAAAAATCGGAAATCTTGTTTGCTTCCATATATGGTATAGGTTTGGTAAGGGAAACCCAATGCTAAAAAACACAGGGATAGCGTCCGAACGGCATACAATAATCTTTCGAAATTTCAAATACATACTTGTTTTCTCTTAACATAAAAGATAATGGACTTGATTACTAGAAAGTCTCCCATCATGCTTTGTGCTATTGAAATAGTATTCTTGCACATTTTTTTTTACAGCTACTGCATAAATCAAAACTTTGAAAAAAAGTTCAATTTATATTCCATACTTTCTTTTAGCTGCTAAAATCCCCTACGTGAAGCCTCAAAATATCAAAGGTAAATAAAAACAAATTACTAATAGCACCTCTCTCATTGGAGGAGAGTTAAGCACGTGACGCAATAATACCTGACGCAGAGGTCTCGCAGCTCTAAATATAATTCATTGTGATTGGCTGGCTAGAACAATAGGCTCTATTGTTTATGCCTCATTCTTTAGAGTCACGCTGTGTTGAGCCAACCAATTACCAGCAATGTTCTTTGGCGCTGCGAACTGACCCACCTGACGCGGAGGGTTACAATCCGTGCAGAGAGTCCTACGCCTTAGAAAAAATGCCGTTGAATAATAATAACAATTTTAATTGTTATTACTATTAAAAGAGTTAATATCTCGTGTATTTTGTCGTGATAGTTGCTCTTGTAACAGGATGCACCTCGTAACTTGACAGTCGCCCTCGAACTGCTTCCCCGGCAGGATATTTGTTTCTCGTAATATCCAGTTTTGTTGGACAACTATCACAGCATAATGTCTTGGATTCAATTACTATTGTTTAATTGGATTACAGACACTCACAGTGTAAAAAAGCGCTATCCACATAGTGGTAAATAACGCTATCCAGCGCATAAAAAAAATAAGAGGTTATTAACCGAGCGCGAGTTCGGTACGGGAAAATATCAGACCGAGGTCTTGACAGTACGGACCGAGCGCAGCGAGGTCCGTACATAACAGACCGAGGTCTGATATTTTCCCGTACAGATCGAGCAAGCGAGGTTAATAACTCGTTTATTATATGACTTTTACATCGTAGATTATGTAGAAGAATCACTCAAAGTATATAGGAAAAGTCTCACTTGTCAACTTGCAACACGT